GTTGGATGATGTTGGATGATGTTGGATGTTGGATGATGCTGAATTATGTTGGATGATGTTGGATGCTGTTGGATGTTGGATGATGTTGGATGTTGGATGATGTTGGATGATGTTGGATGCTGGATGATGTTGGATGATGCTGAAGGATGTTGGATGAAGTTGGATGATGCTGAATGATGTTGGATGATGTTGGATGATGTTGGATGATGTTGGATGTTGGATGATGTTGGATGTTGGATGATGTTGGATGTTGGATGCTGAATGATGCTGAATGATGTTGGATGATGTTGGATGATGTTGGATGATGTTGGATGTTGGATGATGTTGGATGTTGGATGATGTTGGATGTTGGATGCTGAATGATGCTGAATGATGTTGGATGATGTTGGATGATGTTGGATGTTAGATGATGGATGCACTACAGTGGGTATCTAGTTATCTGGAAAACAGGAAACAGTTTGAGCAGGTAAATGATGTAAGATCTGTGCAACATTACATGTGGGGTTCCTCAGGGTCCTGTACTTGGACAAAAGTTGTTTCTTTTATATCTGAATGATTTAGTAAATGTATCAGGGCTTCTTAAATGTGTATTATTTGCAGATGATACTATATTTTTCAGTTTAGGAAAAGATATAGAACGAATGATGGGGACGATGCGAACAGAATTTTATAAAATACGAACTTGGTTTAAACTAAATAAATTATTAAATTAGAATAAAACAAATTATATGATATTCAGTAATAGAAACAGAGCTGTTGGTTTTCCTTTTCAAGTCGATGATGTTGAGATCTGTAGAGTCAATGAGGTGAAGTTTTTAGATGTTATTATTGATAAAAGCTGACATGGAAATCCCTCATAAATCACTTAAGAACAAAAATAACCAAATCCACTGCAGTGTTGTCTAAAAGAACAGACTTATTTAATGACAAAGTTTTGTTTTTCTTATGTAATGTAATAATTGTTCCACACTTGATTTACTGTGTTGAAGTCTGGTTTTGCCTCATCAGATTCTTTAGCTGTGGTTCGGCTGTTTTGATCTGAAGCATGTTTAATAAAGCAGCTGAAGATTTATTGATTCATTAAGTTTCTGTCGTGTAAATCAGAACTTCGGCTCGTTATCACCCACCAGAGGAATGCTGGGACTTCGGCTGCTGTCAGCGGAGCCTTCGGCTCGGTTGTGTTTTTGTTTCATATTAAAGGCGAAGCTGAAGGAACTTATCGACTCATGATTTCAGGAAATATTTTGCTAACACAGATCATCCCTCTGCCTTCGGCTGTGGACGAAGAACAGAACCAGTGAGAAGCAGCTGCGTCTCAAAGTTCAGCACTTCAGAGGAACCTTCGGCTGCTGCTGAGCTAAAGGAGGGTGTGGCCGGTCCAGGCAGGCCCTGCGTCCAGAATAAACCCAGAACCAGGTCTGAGTCAGAGGACTGTGGGGCCGGGCTGGGTCGGGCCGGGTCGGGCCTTCAACAGGAAGTCACGAGGACGGTTCTGCCTCGTCTGTGGCTCCTAGAACCGTGTGTGCGGTTAGCTCTGCTGCCTCGGCAGGACGCGATGATGTCATCACACACAGGAACCTTCCTAAACAAAGGGAAGTCTGTGTGGTTGGGGCGGAGCGGACACAGGCAGAAAACCAACATCGGGGGGAGTTTGGGTCTGAGGAGAACACAGCGTGTGCTTCAGCTGCAGCAGAGCTGAACCCGGACCCCCGCCRTTAAATCATCAACACCTCCTGAGGAACACGAGCCGAAACGCAGACGTCTGGAGCGGACAGATGTTTTATTCCAGCGCTGCACTCGAAGCGACACTTCAACACAAGCAGACAGAAAAACACTCAGTCTGGAAATAAACTTACTGAGTCAAAAAATGTCTCGTTTTAATCAAAATACAGCAAGAGTTAAATAAACTGTTACAAATGTCCACTATCGTTTTATTATTTAGCTCACTGTTCTTACATCTTCATCACTTTTATTAAATGTTCAGTTTCAATGTTAAACATTTGATCTAAAYGTTAAATCCTAAATGTAAAGGTTTAATGTAAATGTTCAAGATTTTATTTAAGACCTTCAGAAAGGAACCGCTGTTGGTGCTCAGCTCCTGTTATGATGTCATCATCTTTAGACAATAGCAACCGCTAGTGCTGCTAACACCACTGACACTGCTAATGATGCTAACACTGCTAATGCTGCTAATGGTGATAACACTGCTAATGCTGCTAACACCATTAACACCGTTAACACTACTAACACCACTAAGACTGTTAACACCACTAACACTGCTAATGATGCTAACACCACTAACACTGCTAACGATGCTAACACCACTAACACTGCTAATGATGCTAACACTGCTAATGCTGCTAACACCATTAACACTGTTAACACTACTAACTCCACTAAGACTTTTAACACCATTAACACTGCTAATGATGCTAACACCACTAACACTGCTAATGATGCTAACACCACTAACACTGCTAATGATGCTAACACTGCTAA